GGAACAAAAGAGAATACAGAAAAGGGGACAACACAAAGGTTAGGGAATAGAGAAGAGGGAACTACACAAAGGTTAGGGAATAGAGAAGAGGGAACTACACAAAGGTTAGGGATCATTTGCAGGAAGTTCGATGGGAGGCAAATGGAAGGAAAGGCAGCAAATTAGACGAAACTCATAATGCAGCAATGCAAAAGAAGCACTTGAACAGTTCTTACCTCTCAGGAGGGAAGTGGTGAACAGCTCATGCCTCTCAGGAGGGAAGTGGTGAACAGTTCATGCCTCTCAGGACGGAAGTGGTGAACAGTTCATGCCTCTCAGGAGGGAAGTCGTGAACAGTTCATGCCTCTCAGGAGGGAAGTACTCACCTAGTTGTGCTTGCGGGGATTGAGCTCTGGCTCTTTGGTCCCGCCTCTCAACTGTCAATCAACAGGTAATTACCTAAGTGTAATTACCTAAGTGTAGTTACAGGATGAGAGCTACGCTCGTGGTGTCCCGTCTTCCCAGCACTCTTTGTCATATAACGCTTTGAAACTACTGACGGTCTTGGCCTCCACCACCTTCTCACTTAACTTGTTACAACCGTCTACCACTCTATTTGCGAAGGTGAATTTTCTTATATTTCTTCGGCATCTGTGTTTAGCTAGTTTAAATCTATGACCTCTTGTTCTTGAAGTTCCAGGTCTCAGGAAGTCTTCCCTGTCGATTTTATCAATTCCTGTTACTATTTTGTACGTAGTGATCATATCACCTCTTTTTCTTCTGTCTTCTAGTTTTGGCATATTTAATGCTTCTAACCTCTCCTCGTAGCTCTTGCCCTTCAGTTCTGGGAGCCACTTAGTAGCATGTCTTTGCACCTTTTCCAGTTTGTTGATGTGCTTCTTAAGATATGGGCACCACACAACAGCTGCATATTCTAGCTTTGGCCTAACAAAAGTCATGAACAATTTCTTTAGTATATCGCCATCCATGTATTTAAATGCAATTCTGAAGTTAGAAAGCATTGCATAGGCTCCTTGCACAATATTCTTTATGTGGTCCTCAGGTGATAGTTTTCTATCTAGAACCACTCCTAGATCTCTTTCTTTATCAGAATTCTTTAAAGATTTCTCACATAATATATAGGTTGTGTGGGGTCTATGTTCTCCTATTCCACATTCCATAACATGACATTTATTAACATTAAATTCCATTTGCCAAGTGGTGCTCCATATACTTATTTTGTCCAGGTCTTCTTGAAGGGCATGACAATCATCTAAATTTCTTATCCTTCCTATTATCTTAGCATCATCAGCAAACATGTTCATATAATTCTGTATACCAACTGGTAGATCATTTATGTACACAATAAACATCACTGGTGCAAGAACTGAACCCTGTGGTACTCCACTTGTGACATTTCTCCATTCCGATACATTGCCTCTGATTACTGCCCTCATTTTTCTATCAGTCAGAAAATTTTTCATCCATGATAGAAGCTTACCTGTCACCCCTCCAATATTTTCCAGTTTCCAGAACAACCTCTTATGTGGAACTCTGTCGAAAGCCTTTTTTAGGTCCAGATAGATGCAGTCAACCCAGCCATCTCTTTCCTGTAATATCTCTGTGGCCCGATCATAGAAACTGAGTAAATTCGATACACAGGATCTTCCTGATCAAAAACCATACTGTCTGTCTGATATTATATCATTTCTCTCCAGGTGTTCTACCCATTTAGTTTTGATTAGCTTTTCCAATACTTTCACTATTACACTTGTCAATGATACAGGTCTATAATTGAGGGTGTACAGGTTCCTGAGCCTATTGGGCTCTATCATATCTATACTTGAAACTGTGTATGGAGTCAGCCTCCACCACATCACTTCCTAATGCATTCCATTTGTCAACCACTCTGACACTAAAAAAGTTCTTTCTAATATCTCTGTGGCTCATGTGGCTCATTTGGGCACTCAGTTTCCACCTGTGTCCCCTAGTGCGTGTGCCCCTTTGTGTTAAACAGCCTGTCTTTATCAACCCTGTCAATTCCCTTGAGGATCTTGAATGTGGTGATCATGTCCCCCCTAACTCTTCTGTCTTCCAACGAAGTGAGGTTTAATTCCCGTAGTCTCTCCTCGTAGCTCGTAGCTCATACCTCTCAGCTCGGGTACTAGTCTGGTGGCAAACCTTTGAACCTTTTCCATTTTAGTCTTATGCTTGACTAGATATGGACTCCATGCTGGTGCCGCATACTCCAGGATTGGTCTGACATATGTGGTATATAATGTTCTGAAAGATTCCTTACACAAGTTTCTAAAGGCCGTTCTTATGTTAGCCAACCTGGCATATGCTGCTACTGTTATCCTCTTGATATGAGCATCAGGGGACAGGTCTGGCGTGATATCAACCCCCAGGTCTTTCTCTCTCTCGGACTCTTGAAGTATTTCATCTCCCAAGTGATACCTTGTATCTGGTCTCCTGTTTCCTACCCCTGTCTTCATTACATTACATTTGCTTGGATTAAACTCTAACAGCCATTTGTTCGACCATTCCTGCAGCTTGTCCAGGTCTTCTTGAAGCCGCAAGCTGTCCTCCTCTGTCTTAATCCTTCTCATAATTTTGGCGTCGTCAGCAAACATTGAGAAGAATGAGTCTATACCCTCTGGGAGATCATTTACGTATATCAGAAACAGGATAGGTCCAAGTACAGAGCCCTGTGGGACTCCACTGGTGACTTCACGCCAGTCTGAGGTCTCACCCCCTCACTGTAACTCTCTGCTTCCTATTGTTTAGGTACTCCCTTATCCACTGGAGCGCCCTACCAGTTACTCCTGCCTGTTTCTCTAGCTTATGCATCAACCTTTTATGGGGTACTGTGTCAAAGGCTTTCCGACAGTCCAAAAATGCAGTCCGCCCACCCTTCTCTTTCATGTTTAATCTTTGTCACCTGATCGTAGAATTCTATCAATCCTGTAAGGCAAGATTTACCCTCCCTGAACCCATGTTAATGGGTTGTCACGAAGTCTCTTCTCTCCAGATGTGTTACTAGGTTTTTTCTCACAATCTTCTCCATCACCTTGCATGGTATACAAGTTAAGGACACTGGCCTGTAGTTCAGTGCCTCTTGTCTGTCACCCTTTTTGTATATTGGTACTACATTAGCAGTCTTCCATATTTCTGGTAGGTCCCCCGTTTCCAGTGACCTACTATACACTATGGAGAGTGGTAGGCAAAGTGCTCCTGCACACTCTTTCAATACCCATGGCGAGATTCCATCCGGCCCAACAGCTTTTCTCACATCCAGCTCCAATAGGTGCTTCTTGACCTCATCTCTTGTAATTTCGAACCTATCCAAGGTCACCTGGTTTGCTGCCACCTCTTCTAGCGCCGCGACATCTCCCTGTTCTATTGTAAAGACCTCCTGGAACCTTTTGTTGAGTTCTTCACACACCTCTTTGTCATTCTCTGTGTACCTGTCCTTGCCCACCCTAAGTTTCATCACCTGTTCCTTCACTGTTGTCTTCCTCCTGATGTGACTGTGTAGTAGCTTGGGTTCGGTCTTGGCTTTATTAGCTATATCATTTTTCATACCTTTTCTCAGCTGCTCTTCTCACACTGACATACTCGTTCCTGGTTCTCTGGTATCTCTCTCTACTTTCTGGTGTTCTGTTATTACGGAAGTTCCTCCATGCCCTTTTGTTTTGCTCCTTTGCTTTCATACATTCCTTATTAAACCACGGATTCTTCCTTTGCTTCTCTGTTTTTTCCTGTCAGGCTGGGACAAACCTGCTTACAGCCTCCTGACATTTTTGGGTGACATAGTCCATCATGTCTTGTACGGACTTGGTTCCGAGTTCTGTGTCCCAATGTATATCCCATAGGAATTTATTCATTTCCTCATAGTTTCCCTTTCGGTACGCCAGCCCTTTGGTTCCCAGTTCTTTTTTGGGGGTGATAATTCCCAGCTCAACCAGGTACTCAAAGCTCAATACACTGTGATCACTCATTCCCAAGGGGGCTTCCAACTTAACTTCCCTTATATCCGACTCATTTAGGGTAAATATCAGATCAAGCAAGGCTGGTTCATCCCCTCCTCTCATTCTTGTCGGTCCCTTAACAGCTCATGTGAACAGGAGGGAAGTGGTGAACAGTTCATGCCTCTCAGGAGGGAAGTGGTGAACAGTTCATGCCTCTCAGGAGGGAAGTGGTGAACAGTTCATGCCTCTCAGGAGGGAAGTGGTGAACAGCTCATGCCTCTCAGGATGGAAGTGGTGAACAGTTCATGCCTCTCAGGAGGGAAGTGGGTGAACAGTTCATGCCTCTCCGGAGGGAAGTGGATGAAAGAACAGCAGACCCCTGATGGAGTAACTGTATGACCTAACAAGTTCATTTTCTCCTTTAAGACTGAGCACTTTGAGAGTTTTATTCTTAAATTTGCTTCAACATGTTTTACAAGTATTACAGGAAATTCCCTCTTTACAAACGTTTGCCTTACAAACATTCTCCCTAATCTCCCTTCATGCGTAAAATCATTTTCCAAAGTACTGTACATCACTCTTGCGAGCCACCTTCATTTTCTATTACGACAATTTTTAGCCTTGTGTAACACAAATGAGCAAAAAGCAACGTTCTTTGTAGGACAGTCTGCTCTACCTGGTTCAGAATTGGGAGGAAGGATTAGGAGCTGAGTATGGTTTGGTCATATTCAGTGAATTGGTGGTAATAGTAGTTTAACAAATTATTCAAATGAATTTATAGGAAGGAGTCAACCTATCCTCATCACAAAATTAAATAATAATGTAGAGCAGAAGAATACAAATATTGAAAGAACAGGTGTTGCAAAAGAATATGAGAAAGAAGGCAATGAAAACTTCTCTTGTTGCAAGTGAGTGAGTGGGATTGTGTGTAAAACTGATGTTTGAAAGAGTAAAGGTGGCATTTATTATTGTATGTGTGTTGTGTGTTGACACAAGTAAGAATGAAAATGATTTGAATAAAACACACAAAATAACATTTTATTTTTTCAGTTCATAGTAGTGTCACTGAAGGATGGGATGTTCAATAATGCCAACGTATTGTTCAAGACCAAATTTGTTGATGGCATGTCCACGGTGTCCCGGCACACGCAGCATGTTCCCAACGCCTCTACCAAGAGGAAGTAGAAGCAAATTCCAAGATAAAATTAAACATATACAGTGGTACCTTGGTTTTCGAATTTACTGTAATTTGTTCCCAGAGACGGCTCGTATCTGGGAACAGATTAAATTCGCAAACCAAGGTACCACCATACATTTTATATTTATGATAATGCTATTGCCCACGTATTCATAAACAAAACCATGGGAATTGATGATTCTAGTAAATTTATTAGGCCCTAAAATATTTTAAATATGTTAAACTAAGTCAAATTATTTTATGTTAATGAGCTGTGACCATGGATTGTGTTGCATGAATAAGGTTGTTTGTGTGTTTCCAAAACTTATTTTGAAGTAGTGTATTTTTTGTTTTTGTAGATTTTTATGCTTATGTAGATACAGTATTACTGAAATTTAATAGGTATTAAGTAATGATTGAAATCTAGATGTAAAATATAATAACTCATATATAGTATATACAAAAGTGTTTATTATATTTCCTAAAACATAAAACTAATAGTGTTGTGTACAGTAATACATATGTACTGTATAGGCTACTGTATGACAAAAATACATTGCCAAGAGGTATGCTCAGAGATTTGTTAGAGAGTAGAACCAACTTTATTCAACAAGATATATGAAAATGTTTACTGTATTCACCTAGCTGTATTCAACTACAGTGGCACCTCGACATACGATTGCCCCTACTTACGATAATTTCGAGTTACGATGTAAATTTCATCGAAAAATGCGACTCGACATCCGATGGTGTCGTCGACTTCCAATATTTGTTGGTATACGTTAAGGTCGACTGAGCGCATGGTTCCCGGTCACGCGGCCGACCTGCCTCAGTTTACTACAGCTGCCCGCTTAGTGACGATCGCGCCTATAAGAAATTCCGCTTTTGTGGTGATTTTTTGCATTTTGAACATTAAAGTAATTATTATATATCACGCCGTGAGTCCCAGGAAAGTCAGTGGTAAGACTCAACATATGAAAACCCATGTAAGGATGACCATAGAGCAGAGACAAGAGTACAGAATGTCTCTTCCTCGACAATTAAGCAAATGTGTGCAGCATGGGAAGAATTGCAAACCTTTGCTGAAACGACTCGCCCAAATCAAGCTGCAGTAGGTCGTTGCCTTAACCTATTCAATGACACTGTGATGCATCATTACAGACAAATGTTAAAACGAAGGGAAAAACAAATGTCTCTTGACAAATTTGTAGTGAGACAAACAAGCACTGAACCAAAACCAGGTCCTAGTGGTATTCAGGCAAAACGTAGGAGAGAGAGAGAGTACCCCAGAGAAAACATCACTGCCTGATGTGATAATGGAAGGGGACTCTCCTTCCAAACAGTAACAACTCTCCTCCTCCCCCCTCATCACCATCTTCCATACACCATCAAGAACCCTCCATAAAGGTAAGAGAAACTTAGGTACTTGTACTGTTTTGTAGTTAGCAGAAACACATTGTATTCAGTATAAAATGTATTTGTATGTTAATATTTTGTAGAGTGGGGAACGGATTAATTCAATTCCCTTTATTTCTTACGGGAAAAATCGCTCCAACTTACGATATTTCGACTTACGATCCGTCTCTGGGAACAGATTAGCATCGTAAGTCGAGGCCCCATTATAGTTGTGCTTGCGGGGGTTGAGCTCTGCTCTTTCGGCCCGCCTCTCGACTGTCAATCAATCGACTTTTTTTTCCAACACACCCCCTCCCCCAGGAAGCAGCCTGTAACAGCTGTCTAACTCCTAGGTACCTATTTACTGCTAGGTAACAGGGGGCATCAGGGTGAAAGAACCTGCCCGTTTGTTTTTCGCCATCGCCGGGGATCGATCCCCGGACCTTAGGATTACGAGTCCCAAGTGCTGTCCACTCAGCCACTGTGGGTTTGTATGTGTAGCTGTGGTCAGTTTATAGATTCATAATGTCTCAATTAGACCCGAGGTCACGCTTTTCTGGTGATGCCGTCCATATCTTTAGCGGTAATGCACTTGCTAACAATGACCTACAGTACTTTATTTTGTATATTTGCTGGTGGGCATTTAGTCAAGGGCCTCTGATATTTTTGCTTGATGGGTTATGTGATTAAAGTAATTTAAATTATCTTACCTTCAACAGACTGTTTCAAAGGTTTGCTTAATTATCTTGCATACCTTCAGCATGGGGGGGTTTATATTGTTGTAATATTTAACTTATAATTACCGCTAGTTCACTCAGTGTTGCAAGATTTAATTAGAATTTAAACGTTTGGTCAATTCAGTTAACCAAAATTAATTCTCAAATTCCTTTACATGAAGAACCAGCAATTGTGTTGAGACCCCCCCCTCCCCTGCCTCACTCTGGTCTATGAGAGTAACACTGACCAGTTGTGTTGAGACCCTCCCCCCCTGCCTCACTCTGGTCTATGAGAGTAACACTGACCAGTTGTGTTGTGACCCCCCCCCCCCTGCCTCACTCTGGTCTATGAGAGTAACACTGACCAGTTGTGTTGAGACCCCCCCCCCCCCCTGCCTCACTCTGGTCTATGAGAGTAACACTGACCAGTTGTGTTGTGACCCTCCCCCCCTGCCTCACTCTGGTCTATGAGAGTAACACTGACCAGTTGTGTTGAGACCCCCCCCCTGCCTCACTCTGGTCTATGAGAGTAACACTGACCAGTTGTGTTGAGACCCTCCCCCCCTGCCTCACTCTGGTCTATGAGAGTAACACTGACCAGTTGTGTTGTGACCCTCCCCCCCCTGCCTCACTCTGGTCTATGAGAGTAACACTGACCAGTTGTGTTGAGACCCCCCCCCCCCCTGCCTCACTCTGGTCTATGAGAGTAACACTGACCAGTTGTGTTGAGACCCCCCCCCCTGCCTCACTCTGGTCTATGAGAGTAACACTGACCAGTTGTGTTGAGACCCTCCCCCCCCCTGCCTCACTCTGGTCTATGAGAGTAACACTGACCAGTTGTGTTGAGACCCCCCCCCCCCTGCCTCACTCTGGTCTATGAGAGTAACACTGACCAGTTGTGTTGAGACATTCCCCCCCCCCCTGCCTCACTCTGGTCTATGAGAG